GTTCCGCGCCATATGGAGGCACCAGGCTATCGCGCACAGCTCCTTTCAGAACCGTTTTCGAGTAGCCAAGGGCGTAAAGCTCCGGAATTTGAAATTCGCGAATGGAGGACAGCAAATGATAAGGTGTTCTGGTTTTTCCCCACATAATCTGCATTAAATTACGTAACAGAAATATATGAAATCTAATTTTATTGGCTCTTATTTGGAGAGCTTGTTCATAATCTTACTATTTAAATCCTTTTACTGTTTAACTTCAATATTCGTATGTTAGTAGGCAACAAAGCCATGAGATTTTGGATGTCTGGAGTGCGGTAGACAAATAACATCACGTATCGGTCTTTTCAGTCACAGAAAAGCTCATGAAAGAAAACGCCTTGCGTGACCATCTTCTGATGCGTGTCAAATACTCGTCAGCGTGTAATGGCGGTATGGTATGGTATGGTCGTATGTTAGTTCTTGCCATTCTTTGAATTTGTCACAATCCTCTTAATATCATCGGACCAGCGCAGCGTACGGGTAGATGTTGTCTACTACGAGAATCTTCTTTCCTGGGCATTCTTTTAATTAATCTTCGAGTCGACCAATTATCTGTTCTTTATGCCAGGTGTTCGTATATTTAATTTTCAAACAATTGTTAAACTGCATTCTACTATACCGATTCTTATAAAACATTGTAGATACATTGAGTTCCCCCGTTACATTAGGAGCTGAATTAGGACCGATTTTATATTTTATGATATCATGTCATTTAACTTTTTTTATGTACTTGCTAAATCATTCTGGCTTAAATAAAGAGTTTTATTTAACACTCTTTTGGTTTTTATAAAGATCTTGAAGCAAACACCAATGACGTGTCGTATCTTTAAAAAAGATTATATTAATTCTGTGGTCAAATCAAAGCTGCATTTTGCTTAATATGTGTGCGTTAGTGGACTACCGCGGGGAAATAAATACCGCGATCTTATATCTATCGTCTCCCGCTTTTATGAGTCATAACTCATTATACAGTCTTAAGGCTATGACAAAAGCTAGTATTTGAGAGCGTTTAACAAAAATTAGTTCTCCATCTCCGATATCAGTCGTACCAAAGTTTATAGCACGAGACTGGTTGTCGTCTCGGCGCACTAAGGGATGAGATATTCTGGTGTTTCTCCATTTCCCCCCACAGAATTTGCATTCGCCGTTGTTTCTTAGCTTCAATCTACTGAGGTGTTCATTGAGGAGACTGTAAAAAACTCTGTGACAATCCGAAGATTGTTTTTAATTATCAAGGATAACTTCTGATTTTTCTCGGTCGTAAGTCCTCAGAAATTTCTTCGAGTGTCTTAGACCTTTTTCAGGATTTCCATTCCAGGTTTTTGAGTTTCGCTTTAATTTGGTTTCCATTTGGGAAGAACGGTTCTGGTTCAATTAGTGGGAAATGTTTGTTCCTATTCTAGGTAAATCGTTTGATTTTTGATTACCTTCTATCCCTTGGTGGAAAAGGCAATGAAAAAGCAAATGATCTAGCTAGGAAAGGAGCGAACATTCCACTAACTGGACCAGAACCGTTCTGTTTTCCAAACGGGAACCAACTGAAAGCGGAACTGAAGAATCTGGAAGACTCCATCCGTAACTTAGAATAACTCCAAGGGTCTAAGACACTCGAAAAAGTTCCTCAGAACTTACGACCTAGAAAAATCAATGGTTTTCCTTGATTTAAGTCAAAACAATCTTCAGATTGTCATGAGGTTTCTAACAGAACATTCTCTCCTCAACAAACACCTCAGTAGGCCGAAGCTGAGAAACAACGGCGAATGCAGATTCTGTGGGGAAAATGGGGAAACAACAGAACACCTTATCACTGATTGCGCCGAGACGACGACCATTCGTGCCATGAACTTTGGTAGGGCTGATGTCGAGGATGGAGAGCTGACCTCTGTGGAGCCGTCTCAGATAGTGGCTTTTGTTAAAGCCCTGAGACTGTATGATGAGTTATAACTCGTTATAACTCAAGAAAGGGGAACACACAATAGATCTATAAGGTCGCGATGATTAGCTCCCCTCCTAAACATTATACATTCTACATCCCTTGGTGGGCTGGCACCTAGAGTGGGGTTACTTTATTTTCTTTGTCCAGAAATTCCAAATGAAAAAAAAATCCAGAAAGAAATAATTGTCATCATCAATAATATTGTTAAATAAAGCTAAAGTGAAAAGTGTTTTTAAACAAATGTTATGTTCCTAGAAAACATGTCTAGTAATTATTATTCCTATATAGACACGTCAAAATAAATAATGAATTGTTGTACCGTTATTTTTATTTCAATTTATTATTCATATATAGCGATATTTTGTTCAACTAGCGAAAGAATTTTAAAATTTTTAAATGCTACCGGAAACCGACCAAGAACTCGAACGTACGATTTACATATGCATATTCTCACTTCTGAAGGCATTCACAGATTTAACAGATACATACGTAGGATTGTTTGGGTTAGGTTGGATTTATTTAAATTCTTAATGAAAAGATAACAAAGCCCACACTTCTAGGTATTGTGAATTGGGAATGTAACAGAAAGAGAAAAATTGTTACAGTTTTATGGTTCATTCCAGTTTAAACATGTCATTTTTAAAATTTGTTTTTTTTTAAGTCATTTTTAAAATTTAAATGTGATTTCCTATATTCAGATCAACGATGCAACACACTGCCTACTAGCATGTTTATGATATGCATGATACGAACGCATGATACGTTTATGATACGTATGTATAGTCTGTATAACCTCTATAGCCTGTCTAGCTTCGTATATCTATGAAAAGCTCTCTTGAAAAAATATATATTTTTTTGCATAACCATGCAGATATTACAAAATCCTTTATCATTATGCATTTGCAGTCTATCTTCTTCGAATATCTGACATATATCTATTATAATCCATCATCTAGTAGACGTGCCATGAATTTAAGTTGAACTGCTCATGAATATATCGCTAAACTTTCTTTTCTTCTGTTCGTATTCCTACTGTTAAGTATGTATGCGTGCAGTTAAGGTAGGTACTGTTTACTTATGTTACGACAAAAAAGTTTAATAAGCGCACTTGAGCGTTAACGAATAAAATAAATACCTACTTTAATAAATTAAATAAATTACTATTTCTTGTATTTAATACCTGTGTTGTTAACTGTGAACAAATTAGGCAAAGAAAATCAAGTCTTCTTACTCTTGGTGCCAGCCCACCAAGGTATAGAAGGTAATTAAAAAAACACACAAACTAGCTAGAAAAGGAGCGAATACTCCACTAACTGGACCAGAACCGTTCTGCTCCCCAAGTGGAAACCAATTGGTACACTTGGTGCCAGCCCACACAAGGATAGAAGGTAATAAAAAAGCACACAAACTAGCTAGAAAAGAAGCGAACACTCCACTAACTAGATCAGAACTGTTCTGCTTCCCAAGTGAAAACCAATTTAAAACGGAACTTAAGAACCTGGAGACTATCCGTAACTTGAAATGAGAATCCTCCAACGGTCGAAGAAATTTCTTTTCAGAACTTGCTTGATTTAAGTAAGAACAATCTTCGGATTGTCACCGTGTTTTTACAGGACATTGTCTCCTAAATGTACGTCATCAGTAGATCAAAGTTAAGAAACAACGGCGAATGCAAATTCTGTGGGGAAAATGGGGAAACTCCCGAACACCACATCACCGAGTGCACCGAGACGACAACCACTCGTGCCTCAAACTTTGGTAGTAATCCTGGTAATCCTGGTAATGTTTTATTTTGCTCTTATAATACGAAAGGTCCCAAACCCAATAACGCGTTACCATCTAAGGCATCTTTACTACAACATGACTACAACCGATTCTAAAAGTCTAAATAGACAATTCAATATTAGTATACCTACATGAAGTAAAGCAATAACAATCCTATAGTTTTCCCCTCTGAACAGTAATGATACTGACGGCAGTAACTATAGACATATCAGAAAACGATGATGCATTCTCATCTGCGTTATGCAACTGGGTATCCATTTAACAGTGACACAACAAAAACCACTCACTGAAAATTATAATGTACCTTCAATGCGTCTCATCCGATTTTTTCGTAAGCTATCGGTCGTTTTCGATGCTGTGTCTGGTGTCTGGTGTCTTTTTTCTTGTTCTTTTGATCGCAGTGGGATATTATTGTAAATTCACCAGAAGTAAAAGAGACCAATGAATGAATAGATTACTACACAACATAAAATAAACCACTAGTTCACCACAATACACCAAAACATTTTACTTTTATGATTCTAACATGGTTAGTGAAAAGGGCGTCCAGGTTTTTAGTGTCTTCTGGTGAGCTCATATTTTATTTTGCTGTTGTAATTCCATAGGTCCCAACCCAAACTGCATATTACCATATTTGGAAACTTGTTTCTTACAACAGATTCCAAAAATCTAAATAAATGATTCATTTTCAATATAACAATCCCAGTTTTTCTACCCTGAACCGCAATGGTACTGATGATAGTAGTTTTAGACATAGCAGAAGAAGTAGATGCTGCACTCTCATCCCGTTGTGCACCTGAGTAACTGTTATACAGTGACACACCAAAAACTAATCACTCTGACAATCAAACTGCACTTTCAACGCGTCTTAGCCGATTTTTTCGTAAGGTTTTGATCGTTTTCTATGCTGTGTCGGTATTCGGACTGTCCAGTGTTGCATTTGTGTATATTTTTATAAATTCGCGTAAATGTTTAGAAGTAAAGAGGCCAATGAAGGAATGGATTACTACATATGATAAAATAAAACACTAGTTCATCACAATACCCCAAGAAACTTTACATTTAAAATTTTAACATGGTTAGCGAAACGCGTGTCCAGTTTTTTGGAGTCTTATGTTGAGCTAATATTTTATTTTGCTCATGTAATACCAAAAGTCCCACCCTGACTTTATTTCACCATATACGTTAACTTGTTTATTACAACAGATTCTAAGTCTAAATAAATGATTCAATTTCAACATACATGGAGTAAAGCAATAACAATCCTAGTTTTTCCACTCTGAACGGCAATTGTACTGATGGTAGTAGTCTTAGACATAGCAGAAGACGTGGATGCTGCATTCTCATCTCCGTTATGCACCTGGGTATCCATTATGTAACAGTGACACACCAAAAACTAATCACTGACAATTATAGTGCACTTCAACGCGTCTTATCCGATTTTTTCGTAAGGTTTTGATCGTTTTCGATGCTGTGTCGGTGTCTGGACTGTCCGGTGTTACGTTGTCGTTGTTTTTTCTCGTTTTTTCGATCGCAGTGGCGTATTTTTACAAATTCGCGCGCGATAGACACCGCAGCGGCAGCGAGAGACACCAGCAGAGCGTTCGGTCGCGACGAATTGCTGCTGCTGCTGTCTGCCGGTATCTGGGGGCTACGCTCGCGCTCGCCGCCATGCAGCAGCAAGAGAAGATGTGGTCATCGATGGGCGTAAGAAGTGGACAGGACGGCAGGTTCGCCAGGGGGTATTGGAATGGCCGGTGCACGGCGATTGTCGGTGATAATTGGATGTGGATGCCGGGGAAGATGATTGAGAATTAAGATTTAACATTACAGAAAAACGGCATCAGAATTAGCTTGGCAATGAACAGGATAAACAATAAACACGCCTATGAGGTTTTTTTCACGAAAAAAAAATTTGAAAATTCAAAATTTTTTGAAAAACTTTTTTGAATTTTTTTTAGTTTTTAGTTAAAAAACATAATTTCTTGATAATATGGCAACGTAAGTATTAGATTAAATTTACAAGAAAGAAAATCCAGAAAAGATCCAGTGGTTCTCAAAATTTTAGCAGAAAATACTTTTTTTTTTAATTTTCAAAGTAAAATAACTCCGTTAGTTTGGACTTATTTGAAAAACGATAAAGAGAAAATAGGTTTGTTTTAGCGAGATCTACCACCCCTTAAAATACTTGCAATTATTTCTGTGCACTATTTCTTTTTTTTTGTAATGTCCTCTAGACTTCGCAAACATGGGTAGTTGCTTCTTGAGCTTCCACAAAAATTGCCGCCCATTGAATACCCATCTTTCATATTTTCATTAGGGTAGCCGTCAACAATATGCCATAATAATATAATAAATAAAAGCGTTTTTGTCGAAATACCAAACATTTCCGTATTAGTTATGGCGCTCAAGTTTTTAAACTATTTGAAAGAATTAAATATCATATAAGAAGTTATTTATTTGTTCAAAATTGCTCTTTTAATTTATTGTAAATGGTGTTTTCCTGACTTTTGAATGAATACTTAAAGGAAGCAATACTTATTCAATATAGTACCTATATTAAAACATATTTTTTATCAGACAAATACTGTTTCTTACATTAAAGCTTTATTTGCATTAAATTACTTAAAATACTATTTATTAATTATTTAATTTATTATCATTATTATTAAGATTTTCTATGCAGAAAGTGCTTTTAGTAAAAAGCTATGAAAAAAGACTTGTTAGAGTCTAGCAGTAAAACCAAGACTGCTTATTAGACCAAGACAAAGGGAGTCTTGGTATTTCTTTTTTTATTTATTTTTTTATTCTACTACTTATAAATGCAGAGTTTTCAGTGACATCTCTAAAAAGACAGTAGGTACATTCAGAATAATATTACGTTTTTTAATAATTATAGATTTGTATAATTACACTTGAAAAGTGTGCTAATATAAATTATGTTCATTTAAAAACGTTTATTCTTTCATTGTTAATTAGATTTACAGTTTTTACAGTGTCGCTTGTCAAAGGAACGAAATAATTTATACGTGAAATGTAGGTCAGTTACCACTTGATGTGTAGTAGTACTACAACTGTTTATGGCAGGTTCTAATTGCTTTGCTGATAAAAAAAATCGATAAAAATATAATACGGTACTATTTTAGCATGACAAACAACGTTTACTATTTTGCATTTACAAATGATTCATCTTTATATATGACTTTAACTGTGCAGAAATTTTGGTTGAAAATGGTCATACATATATCAAAAACCACTCGGTATATAAGAATACAACTAAAATAGATTGAAGGCGTAAAAATAGCATAAGAAACTTCAGTGGATTATTCTACAGATAAAAATGAAACAAAAAGTTGTAATGAATAAATATAAAATGCTTCCTGAGGAAAACAGCGGAATATATAATACAATAAAATTGCGTTTATCTCATCAAGGAGGCCAAAATCGACAAAATATCAAGAGACAACTTTTAATCGGCGTTAAACTACTTACACTATTTCGCTAACAAGAGAAAACAAATCAGTGGCGTACATGATTTTTTTAGAAAAATATTTCAGAGATAACCCATATGCACGTCCCTGGTGAATATGTCGACACTTTTTTAGCTTTAAAATATGTCGCATTTATAGTAACTTTTACCCTCAAAAATGTCATTCGAAACGCTAAAAGTCGTTGGAAGAAAAGTATAATACTCGTAAATCGAAAAATTATTAAGACTTTAACACTCTGTAGCTACGAAACAAAGCAGGATCGGACCTATGTTGATATTAAAAATAAATCTTATTTTTACGTTAGGAATCTCCCCACGAGAGATGGCACATGTTTTTTGTAACACCCTGTATTGTTTTATACTCCATATTTGTACAATTAACTAATTAAAAGATCATATCCATAATAGAGATTTCAGTTGACAGAAGACATTTATTCAGAATTCCAGTTGAAAATTTAAATAGTTTTTCTTATAAAGCGCCTTTATTGTCAAACCCAATACTCGATGGTGATCCGTCGCGGACGGTCGAAAGCGCTGTAAATCATCCTGTATATCGATAAAAAGTGTTTAAATGGGCGCTATCACTATCCGCATATTTTACTCAAAAAAAAAGGTATAAAAATCTCAAACCAGAAAGCTGATATAGAGCTTATTCGAAAGGCTCTATCACCATGTATTACTTTATTGCTTGAACCACGATCTCAAACAGAACAAACAAATAATATAAGACGTATATGCGCCATCAGTCTGTTGACTAAAAGATCATTTTCTCTTTGGCATTGCGAAAGCAAACAGTCAGATTTAATGGAAATCAATTATCGGTATCGGTCAGAAACTCAAGTAGGAGAGATGGCATTCGAGAGCTACGAATATTAAGAGAACCAGATAGAGAATACAGGAAGACGGTTTATTTGATAAGTCATGTTCAGCATGCAAGGAAGAATTTCTTTTTCAGCCACGATAGAAATGATTTGACAAAAGTTGGAGAGTTGTGGCATCTGGCTAATAATTTATTGGTGTATTTATTTCTTTAAACCCAAAAAAAGGGTTGAAATGAGGGACTAAGAAGGAATCAAATATACCGAGTGCGTCTTAAAAGTGGCTCACCCTTATAACTTTTTCATTTTTTGAGATAAAAAAAAACAAATTTGGTATTTTAGTATATGACATAAATTAGGATTGATTGACGTATTCAATTAATTGTTTTCGGTCATTTCCTCTTTCACCGGAAATGACTACAACCTTTGATTTTTAAATTTAGTAGTCAGTATTTTTTACTTTGACAGGTGAAATGGCATCAGATGGTGACGTCTTAGGCATGTTTCTTGTTGTTTGTGAGTGCCAGCGGGACAACATTTGACAAATACCAATCATGGTATCAAATTATTTTGTAAAAATGCCTTTTCAAATATGCTAAGGAATACCTCGTTTCATTTTGAAAAATTTGAGATATGATTAAAAAATACGATTTAGGCATTTTCTAACTGGCCAGGACAGACACCAAAACATTAGACAGTCAAATATATTTTTCCAAGACTCCTTGAATTAAAATTAATGTTTAAAAAAAAAAAAAAAAAAAGATTAAATTTTAAAATAGGATTTTTTTATTAAGCGAAAAAACGTTGACAACGAGAAACAAAAGTTGACATACGATAATATGTCATTCTATCGAGAATGTAATTTTCTATCAATTAAAGTAAAAATTCAAAGTTACCATTTAAAAAATCAAAAAAAAGTTGTAGTCATTTCGGTGAAACAGGAAGTGATCAAAATCAATTAGACCACGTCAATCAATCCTAATTTGTAGCATACTAACATACCAAATCTCGTTTTTTATCTGAAAAATAAAAAGTTATAGGGGTGAGCCTCTTTTAAGACTAGCATCTGGTCCAGTATTTGTTTGGACCAATGAGAACCCGAATTCGATGGTTATCTGATCATAGGCCAATTCTGGTCTCATCCGAAAAAAGAATAGTTTGTCAATTCTCAGTTGTCCAGTTTTTATGTTGAAGGCATCAATTCATTAGGTAAATTTTATTTTGCCGAGATAACTGTGGGATCCGTAACTCTCTCCTACTGTAAAACCCTCGGGCAAACGAAACCCTCGAAACGTTCACACCTGTAGCTGCCAGAAGTTGTCTTTGTAGCTCTGGATGAGAAACATTGGGATTTATCTCGGGATTTATTCTAGCAATTTGGCACACAAGGCGGTCTTGTTGTTCAGTTGTGACTCTTTGGCGGTTTTATCTGGGCCTATCCTTGTGTGTTCCTAATTCCAAGTACCTTGCATATGTTTTCGATACAGAACCTGTAAGAACCATGTAGAATGTAGAATGTTTAGGAGAGGAATTAATCACCGCGACCTTAGAGATCTATTTTTATTTTTCTATTCCCCTTTCTTGAGTTATAACAAGTTATAACTCATCATAGAGTCTCAGGGCTTTAACAGAAGCCAGTATCTAAGACGGCCCCACAGAGGCCAGCTCTCTCCATCCTCGAAATCAGCTGTATCAAAGTTCATGGCATGAACGGTCGTCGTCTCGGCGCACTCAGTGATAAGGTGTTCTGGTGTTTTCCCACAGAATCTGCATTCGCCATTGTTTCTCAGCTTCAGTCTACTGAGGTGTTCGTTGAGGTATCCGAAGAGTCCTGAGGAGTCTTTTTCGAGTGTCTTAGACCGTTGGAGGACTTCCATTCCAGGTTGCGGATGGAGTCTTACAGGTTCTTCAGTTCCGCTTTTAGGTGATTTTTGCTTGGAAAACAGAACGGTTCTGGTCCAGTTAGTGGAGTGTTCGTTCCTTTTCTAGCTAGATCATTTTATTTTTCATTGCCATCTATCCCTCGGTGAGCGGGCACCCAGAGTAGGACTTTATTCTCTTTGCCTAATTTGTTCAGCGTCTCTAGCCATTCTTTGACCAATTTCGAATTGTAAGTTGGTGCTGCTTGACTACCGGATAAGATGGCTATTTCTTGTTTTCGAAAGTTCCTATTTAAGTAATTAGTATAATAAGTAATAGTAATTATCTACAAATATAAAATGCTAATGTTTATCTGTGTCGTCTCTACTGAAGTAACGATTTGCTCTAGAAAGTTGCTTTTTTTACTAAAAGATCGTTAATTGGCTCTTCTAAAAACTCGTCGCCGGATTTTTTGTTTTTCATTTAATTTAAAAAAAATA